GAAGGTGGTTTTTCGCCATGTCGAAACATTCAGCTGTGATCCGAGTCTGGACGTCCTGCGGAGCATACTGGGCCTTCATAGCATCGGCGACTGTCTTCAAAGAGCGGGCGAGCATCTTGCGGGGGAAGCTGACCGCGACCAGCTTGCACGCGTTGTCCTGCTGCGCCTCGATCGTGCTGGAGACCCAAGGAGCCGTCGAGATAGTACAAAGCTGCTCTTGGATGGCGGAAATCGGTCGTTGAATTTTGGCATGTGCAACTTCGCCACGTGCATCATCCAAGTCGGAAGCCGGCATTGCTGCACGGGCTTCCTGGGCACGGAGCTCATCCGAGATCTGGTCGTTGACCTCACTCTTGAAGGAAGGGGAGCGGTCGTTCCAGTCAGTGAACATGGCGGACTTCTGGCCCTCGAGCTGAGCAATATTCGACTGGATATCCTTAGTAAGCTTAGTCATGTTCATTGTGAACTGATCGCACCTGGCGGTTTGAGCAGCCACCTGGTTCTTGATGAGGCCAATATCGCACGACTGACTGGATAGTTGCGATCCAAAGCCACGAAACGCACGTAGAACTTCATCAAGCTTCTCCTCGTCGGAGGGCCGTGAACGCTTGCCCTTGGTGGCGACGTCGGATCGGCTGCGGGGCGAAGAGTCTCTGCGCCGACTGTCTGAAGATTCCGATGAGCGAGACCTGTCCGCAGCAGGCATGGCGGCCGCTGTGCAGTGGGAGAAAGGAAAAGAAAAGGGAGGCGCGACTCAACTGCTGAGTCCAGACCTTGGCAGACCACGTCTGGACCAGCTGCAAAGGCTGCTCCTGCCCGGCTGGCTTGATAGACGTCGTACCTGAACCAAAACGGCTACGGGGCTTGAGCCAAAATGGCTACGGAAGACCTGTGGGTTCGACTTTGGGATGCCTTGGGGTCTAGGCAAAATGGCGTGGACCTCAGATGGACTGAGCGCCACCCAACGAAAGCCAAAGCAAACGGCCTTCGTTTAACCACGATCGAGCAACTCCTCAATGGAGCGGCCGACGCCTGTGTTGGGACAGCGGCTAGACAAGCTCCCGTCACGCCTGAGTTAGCCGCCATCACACACCAAAATGAGAAAGTGAGCATTGACGTCTTCAAACGGCCAGTTTGCATCCAGCGTGCAGTTTGCGCTGCCTGTACTCAGAACAGTAAGAGAGCGGGAGACAGAGAGAGTGCGTGACAGGATTGGGCATGAGCGCGTGCGTGAACGGAAGTCGCGCACCAGTGTCCCGATCCGTCTCGAGCGTGTGACGTTTGCGACATGGAATCTGACATGTCGTGTTTGTTAGGCCCGCTTCCAGAGACGGGGTGTGCTCTCTGCATTTTGGCATGGTCTTTGTGGCCAGCTAATTCTGCGTTTCGCCCCCTCCTCCCGAGGAGGACACAATCCTGGGACCGACGAGACTGATCCGTGGACCCATACACTTGCTACGGTATCATAACACTCGTGCAAAATCGATTATCAATGGCTTGCTCCATTGTTCCAGCCGCGGGAGCTTTGCTATGAGCAGCAGAAAGAGGCTCCGAGAGCCCGGTCAGCAGCCCACCCGCAAGGGGCTCGAGGTGTTGGATCGTCTCGGGCGTGGGCTCCCGCCAAGGTCGGGAATATGTTTCATCGGTGCTCGTGGTGATGCGGGCAGGCAAGCACCCAGGAGCCACGCTTTCGCCAGAACAACATCCGTGCTTCTCACGGATCCTCACGCCTCGACCGTCGGCTAAAGGCACCTGCCTGGTTGGACGACAGCAGGGGTCCGCAGAAGGGGTGATCGCGAGTCGGCTCACGTCGCTGGCTTACATGTCGTACACGTCGGTAGAAACATGAAGTAGGAAGGCGGATCAAGTGGGTTGGGTCCAGGCCCCCCAAGGAATAACAAAACACAGCAAGAGCATGTCGATTCTTGAAGTAGGAAGGAGCTTGAAAAAGATTGGGATCTGGGAGCCCGAAAATACATACTTTCAACGACTAGCGTGATCTCCCCCCTTTCCCTCTGGGATCTTCTGACCCGGGCCAAGTCCAGACCCGGGTCACAGTCAGGCCCTGCAAGGATTCGGCGGTGGACAAACCTCCCTTTAGTAAACCTCCCCTTAGCGAAAACGGCCTAAGACCGAAACCGACAGACCTGGACCCGCAAAAATGACGGCCGCGACGCCCTCTCGCGAACCGAAAACGGTCAATTCGCTAATCGACGTGTCAGGGTAGGAGGTCTGTCCACCCCCCGCCGATTCCCCATGCGCCCCATGCTTGTCCACCCCCCGCCGATTCCCCATGCGCCCCATGCTCCAAACACCCAGCTCCTCGGGTGCATCGTGGCGGCAGCCGCGGGCGGCAACACACAGCTTCTTCATCGCCCGCGCAGGAGCCCGAGCACGCGCCCAAACCCAAGCCCAAGCCGAGTACCGAAGCCCCAAGCGCAAGCGCCAAGCCCTCCAAGCATGGTCCCGGGACCCAGGCCGCTGCGCCCAGGCCCCAAGACCCGAGCCCCCAGGCCAGAGCCTCCTTCCATCGTCGTCGAGCCCTCCTGTTCGTCCTGCCCCTTCTCCCTCCTCCTCCCTCATTCTCCTCTCCTCCTCCTCCTCCTCGTCATCCTCCTCCTCGTCCTTGACCTCCTCCTCCTCCTCGTCGTCATCGTCCTCCTCCTCCTCCTCCTTTCTTCCCTCCTCCTCCTTCTCCCCGTTCCCACGCCTCCTGTGGGGAAGCCACAAGGTACGGATACTGCTAGGTGCTCCCTGGACCTCTCTATCGGTGCGTTCTGACCAACACTTCGTGGTGAATCCAGCCGTGGCGACGAAGGCGTCCCAGGAGGCTCAAGAGGCTAAGGAGAGGGTAGCGGCACTGGTACCTTCCCCCCTTCTGATGATCTTCCTTCTTCCTCCCACGCATTTTTCGCAATCAAGATTGAATACCTACCAAACCACCCCAACCCAACCCGAAGACCCGAATTTCGCCCGAATTTCGGTGGAAATGGAGGGCACATTGAGGCCTTCGGGTTGGGATGGGGTAGTTTGGTGGGTGGTGAAATATTGACAACGAACGTCTGACTGACGGCTGTTTGAGGACTGGAGTACCCTCAGAGTGTCCTGCGCACTCGGGAAATAAGACTAAGCTCGGGTAACAAGACTGTCACGTTGCAAGCCAGAAAAAAAAAGGCAGGTAAACACCCAGAAGACCACACGAGCCCACCTGAAATCCGCCGATCCGGCGTGTGAGTTTGAAAGAGCCTTAGATGTAGCCTCAGCTTGAGTTCCTGGTCTTCTGCTCTGCTGGGGGATGGGTGCCGGGGTGGCACTGCCGGGGTACGGGGGTGGGGGGGTGGAGGGGGGGAGACGCGCTGTGCTCCGTTTTCCCGGGGGGGGGGTCGGGCCGTGGGAAACACAGCAGAGTGCCACCCCGGATGCCAGAGAGCCCAAGATTGCTGCAAGATATTTCGAAGACGGTCCAAGACGTACCCACGACGGCCCAAGATAGCGTCATGACGGCCCAAGAGGCCTTCAAGAGGCCTCCAAGACGGCCCAAGACGCCTTGAAGAGTTCCCAAGAGGTCCGAAGAACGCCCAAAAGGCCCCCCAAGAGGTCCCAAGAGCACTCCAACAGCGCCCCCAGCCGTCTTGGGCCATCGTGAGGCAATCCCTCCCTCACCTACCTCCGCCTCATCCTCCGCCTACTCCTACACCTCCCCTTCCACCGACCAGATCGCATCGGGAGCGCCCTCGGATCGGCGGCACTGGCCGGAGGGCACTGCAATAGGCAAACTCGCGCAGAGAACCTAACTCCTCCCACGCGTTCTGATCCTCCCTACTCCCTCGCGTTCGCCTTCTCCTTCCCCCTTCCACAACCGGCGTTGCGCGGGTTTTTCATGTCTCGGGAGTGTCTCGCGAAGTTTGGTTCACAGTGCAAGCCGCTGACTCACCCACACACATGCGGGAACTGGAGAACACTTGTCAGAGACGGGGAAGAGGCCGGTCGAGCCTCTCTCTTCTTGCTTCATGAAAAAGCGGGTCTTGTCTGAGGCCGTGGATGTCAGAGTCCCCCACCTCCCCCGGTTGGAGGGCACCGACCACGCTGGACCCGGTGCCGTCGGCAGCTCCCCTCCCCCCCGCCGCCGCGGCGCCAGCCAAGGGAGGAGGGCTCGGGGATCCAAACCCGTGAGGTGACGGACCGCGTGGTGACCTCGAAGCCCCAACGACCTCACCGTGCGGCCTGTCGGCCCGAGGCCCTCTCGGAGAAAAGCCCGTGCCCCGGGCCCGAGACTCTCAGGACAGAGCCCAAAAACCGCGCGGTGGCCCCACGTCCCAGACCCCCGGCGACCTGACTTCTTCATCACGTCGATCCTGGAGGTCTCAACCCCCTCCCCGGGACCGGCGTGCTCGTCCTGAGCCGTGGTTGGACGGTCCCGAGGCCTGCGGAGGGCCTCTGCAGAGGGCCGAAAGGGCGAGAACCATGCCGTCGTGATCTTGTCATGTAGGGAAACAAAAAGTCACACAAATATAAAACCTCGGAGGTCCGCGCGGATTCCTCGGATCGGCGCTGGACCCCCCTCCCTGGCGCGCTCCGCGCGCCAAGGGCGGCGCCGGAGGCGCCGCCGGGGCGCCCCAGCGCCGATCCGAGAAATCCGCGCGGACCTCCGAGTTTTCATGTTTCTGTCACTTCTTGTTCCCCTAGAGGTGGCGTTCACTTCGTTCGGGACCTCCCGAGCAAAGCGAACCCCACCTAGCAACGGCTCCCCGCTGCCGTGGGGATCGTCATATCCCCATGGCATCCCGCCCAACGCCGAGGGTCTCGAGAGACTCCCGCCAGCCCCAAGAGGGCCGCATTATGGTCCCATGTAGACCCCAGAGATCAGGATGAGTTCCGCGATCGTCGCGAGCTCTCTCTTCGTTCGTTCGAGGTTGTTCCCCTACCTGCCGGCTTACCGCGCGGCGCGGCCCACCGTCGTAGAAGGGGGGGCCCCCGCGGAGGGGCGAGCGCAGCCGGGCCTTGCAGGTCACCGTGGCGGCGCGGGGCCTCGGCGGCAGGGCCGACAGGGCAGCGTCTGGGGGGGGGGGGGGGGCACGCCCAAGGCTCGAGGCCTGATGCTGTTGGGCGCTTCCGTGGATTCTCGGCGGCTTCCCTGCAGCGTTCGGTGGCAACTCGTGGGGGCCTCTCATCTCGTCTGGTCGGCTCCTGCGAATCGACGCTAACCGACGCTAAATCGACGCTAATCGAGGCCAAATCGACGCTGAATCGACGCCAAGTCGGCGCTATCTCATCGACTCCCAGACGCCAATCGACGCCAATCGACGCTAGAGACGGAATTGCGAAGGATTGCCAGGCTCCCATGATTTGCCACCGAAAGGTCGTCGGACGCTTTCGTGGGTCTTCGGCGGCCTGCCCGCCGCCGGTGCCCTCCAGCGGCTGCGCCTCGCCGGGAGCGCTCCGGGGCCGCCAGGCGCGTCCCGCACGGCCGCCACCCAAAGCATCCGGCAACCTGAAAAATGAATGGTTGAAGGGTTGGCGAGAAATCCTAAGGTTGGCAACCTTTCAACTTTAGATCCAACCCTTCAACCTTAGTTTCAACCCGTCGCCCAACCCTTCAACCTTAGTTCCAACCTTAGTTTCAACCCTTCGCCCAACCCTTCAACCTTAGTTTCAACCCTTCGTCCAACCCTTCGCCCAACCCTTCAACCTTAGTTTCAACCCTTCCATTAGGGCGACGGGTTTAATTTAAGGTTGAAGGGTTGGGCGAAGGGTTGGGCGAAGAGTTGAAACTAAGGTTGAAGGGTTGGGCGAAGGGTTGAAACTAAGATTGGAACTAAGGTTGAAGGGTTGGGCGAAGGGTTGAATTCAATATTGAAGGGTTGGGGGGCGAGCTGAGTCCAAGGTTGAAGGGTTGGCACTAAAGTTGAAAGGTTGCCAACCTTAGGACTTCTCGTCGACCCTTGTTGTTTCCCTATCTAAAACAAGTCTTGGCCTTGAGAATGGGTTTTTGCTTTTCTAGGGCCTGCGCCTTGAAAGCCAACTTTGGGCAAATTGCACGGCGTTTAGCTAGGGCAGTGCTATAGGTATTTCAAACGATGGTCCAAATGCACATACCGTCACAGAAATGTATCGGAATCGTGAAAACCAATTCTCAAGGCCAGTCCTTGGGCCTGTGTGTGCGCGTGTGCGTGTGTGCGCGCGCGTGTGCGCGTGCGCACGTGCGTGCGCGCGCGCGTGTATGTGTGTGTGTGTGCGCGTGTGTGTGGTTGGGTGGGTGGGCGTGGGTGTGGGTGTGGGTAGGTGGGTGGGTGGGTGGTGGCGGTGGTGGTTGTGGTGGTTGGTGGTGGGTGGTGAATGGTGAGTGGTGGGTGGTGGGCGGTGGGTGGTGCGTTGTGCGTGGTGCGTGGTGCGGGGTGCGGGGTGCGTGGTGCGTGGTGGGTGGTGGGCTGTGGGTGGTGGGTGGTGGTTCCGTTGAATGGCTCGTGGCGGTGCTGTGGTGACAAACGATCACAATCTAGCATGTTGCGTGTCCGAACGTGCGCGAATGTCTCTGAATATCATTGGAGACGCGCGCGGGGTGGCCTGAACACAAATACGGCCGAAGTTGCGTTGGCACTTCCTGGATGCAGATCTGTGCGCTCACGGAACATTCCCCAAACAGCGCTTGCACACGCACACTTATATGCATGTATATATAGATATGTATGTTCACGGAGCATTCCCCAAACAGTGATTGCACAGATCCCCGCCCGTCTCGTCTTTCCGCTTCTCCTGTGCGTCCTGGGCACGACGGATATAAACGGCCCACCCCCTTCCAATCCTCCCCCTTCTCACACGAACAACGTGTATATATGTGCTCGCGGAGCATTCCCCAAACAATGCTTGCATTGTTCCCTTCTCGCCCCGTCGTCCCGCTTCTCCTTTTACGTCCTGGGCACGACGGATATAAAGGGCCCAACCCCGTCCACTCCTCCTCCTTCTCACGCCAACAATGCGCGCATAAATTTAACAGTATACACTCACGGAACATTCCCCAAACAATGCTTGCACAAATCCCTTCTCGACGTGTCGTTCCGCTTCTCCCTTTCTGACGTCCTGGGCACGACGGATCTAAACTGCCCACCACCTTCCAATCCTCCTTCATCTCGCACGAACAATGTGTATATATGTATATATATATATACGCTCACGGATTATTCCCCAAACAATGCTTGCACTAATACATTCTCGTCCCATCTTCCCGCTTCTCCGCTTACGTCCTGGGCACGACGGATATAAAGGGCCCAACCGCGTCCACTCCTCCTCCTTCTCGCGCCAACAATGCACGCGTGTGCACATATATATATATATACATATATATATATATAAACACGTTCACGGAGCATTCCCCAAACACTGCTTGCACTGTTCATTTCTTGTCCCGTCTTCCCGCCTCTCCTTTTACGTCCTGGGCACGACGGATATAAAAGGCCCGACCCCTTCACCTCCTCCTCCTTCTCACGCCAACAATGCGCGCATACATTTGACAGTATACGCTCAAGGAGCATTCCCCAAACGGTGCTTGCACAGATCCCTTCTCGACTTGTCTTTCCGCTTCTCCCTTTTTTGACGTCCTGGACACGACGGATATAAAAGGCCCAACACCTTCCACTCCTCCTTCTTCCCACACGAACAATGCATATGTATGCGCTCACGGAACATTCCCCAAACAATGCTTGCACTTAAGGTTTATTGCTTGTGCTCGCATTTCATATTCTCATATCGGTCTGAGTGCGTCGCACTCGACATCACTGCAGCCATTGTGGCACCCAGGGGCGCTTTCGGAGGACAGGCTCACCACTGCAACCACCGCTGTGCGTCGTTGTTTTCGCCAAACATAGGGCGCCATGTCCTGCCGCATGGTTGCGAACGATGCCGTATCAAAAAAAGACTACGCCGAGGCTTTCAGCCGCGTGCACCGCCGTTGCAACACTCCAGTGGACGAGGCGCTTGGTGATGTGAAGAGCCAGGCGCATGCAATCACGCCAGATGACATCGCTCGTTGCTCTCCCTTGGCAGAACAATTGATTGCGGTTGGGTGCAAAAACGGATTGGTTCAGCCGTCTCGTTTCGAACAGGGCCTTCGGGACGCCATCCTCAACACGCGGGCGATCTTTCGTGCCCAGGGGGGCGACAAGGCAGAGCTCATGTTGGTGAAAGTACGCACGCACGTGACGGCTGTCTTAACAGTTCTAAGGACTTGGAAACGTGAGCCGGGCGACTTCGCAAGCGTGAAAAAAATACCCAGACAGGTGGTTTGAAGAAAAGGTGCAGCAGCTCCCAGACGTTATTAATCAACAGCCTGGTAGCCAAGCTCCAGTGGGGCCCCGAGTTTGACGGCAAGGGCGGTAACACGTCGGATGCGAACAGCAATAACGCGGGCAGTCGTGCACCGTCGGTTGAGCCAGGCGAATCTTCGGGCACCAGCCGCGTTCACGACAGCTTGGGAGGCGTCACGTCATCGGGTCTACCACTATGTTTTGCAAAATACTTGGAGAACATGCGGTCCGATTCTAGTTGCAGTATATATTTCACCAAGCAGCACTTGGCGGATGAGGAGCGCACCCCCCTTGGCGACGGGGACGTGGTCACGCCCGTCAAGATCGCCAAGGCCATATTGGGAGGTGGAGGGTGGGGTGGATGACACGTACCACGTGGAGTACCAGGAGGGTACGATGTGGAGGAGGGATAGATGATAGTAGGTGTGGGGTCAAGAAATGTGTTATAACACACATTCTTGACCCCACACCTACTATCTTGCAGCGAGGCCCCAGACGACTCCGCTCAGCCCACGGCCGAGGTCGAGGACCTAGAGACGCCCGTCCTGGATCCCAAAGTGAGGAAGCAGAACGTGCTCGCAAACAGGGGCGGGAAGGTCATGTAGATTACAAAACCCCGCCTCACCTAAATCCACCACGTTTTTTTTCCTGGTTGAACGTTCCCTCCAATCCCCCCCCCCCTCCACTGAAGAAAAAAGGTTGATGCCAGCAAGGGCGGTGAGGGCAATGATGGGAAGAAACAGATCACGGACACGGCACCCGCCGCCAAGACTAAGCTTCCGCCAAAAGCTGCGCCCAAAGCTGTGCCCAATATTAAGACTAACCCAGTGCTCCGTGCTATCAAGATGAGCGGCCCCACTAACGAGGACAACCCGAGGGTTGAGCTTGTCGCCAGTGACGTCAAGCGCGGCAAGAAAGTCCATGCGATGACCGCCAGCCGCAAGCGTCACGGCGCCAAGTTTTCGGCCGCCGCGAAAAAGGTGAAAGTCCATTTCAGTAGTGAGGAGAAGTTCGTTCGGTCCGACGCTGTCAACATACTGACCGAGCTCCTGTCGTAGGAGGTTTGTCCCGTTCTTGTGAGCAATAATGTTCAGGGTGTGCGTTCGGTGCCTTTAATGTGCAGCAGAACGTAACTTTCTTTGGGGATGCCATGGCGCTGTGTGCATTACGGGCCAGTGTGCTTCGGGATACAGTTAGCAGATCACACGTTTTGCGACAATGCTAGTAAACATATGCGTGCCATCGCCACCCCAAACAGTGATTGCACCGAGGGCGTCCGCGTTGCACGTCCTACTCTACCCCAAAACAGTGATTGCACTGATGTTATCCCGTAGTGTTCGCCATATTATTTCTCTTGACAGTGATTGCACTGATTGATCTTGAGCTTTGTTTCAACATTGCAGATATACATCGATGCAGAATCCGTTGCAGTGTGGTCTCTCGCGTTGCTGTTCTTTTCATATCCCCAGACAGTGCTTGCGATGTCTTGTCCTATGGGGTCCTATGGGGTGTCCTAGGGGGTCTCCTAGGGGTCTCCTATGGCGTCCTATGGGGTCTCCTATGGGGTCTCCTTAGGGTCTAACCTATGGGAAATCAGTTGCTTTCGGATGAAAGCCTTAAACTGACGCCTCCCAGGGCGCATCGAGCAGAGTCCTGCGCCATGTTGTTCGCATTATTCCCACCCCCTCATCACGCGAGGCCGTTCTGGCTCAAGGTTTGTTTCGGCCAGTGAGCGACGAACGAAACCGATTCGTTTCTCTCGGCGATGCCGCCGAAGGGGAAGTCCAAGGCAAAGGCGAAGGCGGTTCCTCCATCACTCAAGCGCCCCGCTGCTGCCGACGAGGACGACGCGGCCGCCTCGTGGGCAAAGAAGGCGTCGAAGGCCGACGTGCCGCAGATCGAGGGCAACTCTGGCGAGATGGACTACAGCAGTTGCACGCGTCAACAATGCCACGTCTCCGAGGGCATGTTGCCTACTTTGAGCCAAGAGATCCGTGACAAGTGGAAGGAGCTCTGCGACAAGGAGGGCGTGAAGGGCACGCAGCAGCTCAAGAACGCCCTCAGGAACAGCGTGGTCAAGAAGGATTGCACCTGCGAGTTGTGCGCCGACAACTTGAAAGATTGCAAGGCAGAGCAGTTTCTCAAGGTGACGCAGAGCAAGGCGGACACCAAGAAGGACGAGGGGTGCGCTGGCCCACTATGGAGCGCATGTACCACTTCAACCAGGAGGCGCTGCAGCGGGCGAAGGATTCTGGAGCGATCTGGATGGAGGAGGACAGCGACGGCGAGGAGTTGTGGTACGAGAAGAAGAAGATCCACACGAGCACCCACAGGATTGATACGGGCTGCGACTTCAAGAGGGACCTGAAGCCCCAGAGCGTGGAGCAGTACAAGCAGATGATCACGGACTCGGTCACCAAGAACAAGGCTTGGCTTCGCAAGGCGCTGTGCGACACCAAGAAGGCTCTTGGTTCTGGTGCTTCCAGCTCGAAGGGCGAGAGCACGGACGTCGACTGCCACATGATGAAGACTATGCAGGACGCCTGGGACGCCAGCACCGCGCTCACTGCTGACGCAGGCCTCAGTATTCCTACTCCTACTCATACTCCTAATCCTTCTCATAACTTTACTCATCCTACAACTCCTACTCCTGCATTTCTTATTTCTAATAATCCCAATGCTCATCCTCCACCGTGCCCTTCTCAGGCTTGCTGGCGCAGCGCATCAAGCGCGACCACGCAAAGTCGAAGATCAATCGCGAGCGCGCGGACGAGGTGATGCAGTTGCTCAAGGACTGCGGCCCTCCCAGCGCGGAGCTCCTCTCGGCGCTGGGGCAGCCCATGGAGAAGCTGAACGCCAAGAAGTGCCGCGCCAACCTCGAGGCGTGCGCGAGGATCTTCCTCGCCCTGGAGAAAGCCCACCAGATGCTCATCGAGAGCTCGGGCTTGGCAAAGAAGGACAAGAAAAAGGCGTTGGAGAAGGCGAGGGCGATCAGCAACAAGTGAGATCTCGTCAGGATGCCAGCCCAAACTGTGCGAACTCGAGTCTCACACCGAACGAGTTGTTGATACACAATACTTGGTTTTATGTGTGTGAAACCATGCCCATCGAGAATCCATCGAGAATCCATCGAACATCGATGGATGTTCGATGGGATCGTCGAGAATCTATAGATGTTCGATGGATTTTCGATGGATTCTCGATGGGCCGTCAGATTCACAACCAGTTCGTGTCTTCGACTAGCTTATTTCGCTGCGGTTTCGAACCCGATTCTGGAAGAAAAAAACGCAAGGACTGAACGCAGATTGTGTTGAATCTGAGTTTCGCTGGGCATGGTTTCGCGCCCGTGCGGTGCGATCTTTTTAGCTGCCGCGATGCGTGCAGCGACGGGCGCGGAGACGCCGTGCAGGGGGTAGGGGAGGGGGAGGACACGGGAGTTAAGGGGAAGAGGTCAGGATGAGGACCAGGAACAGGAGGATCATGATGGCAAGCTAGAGGAGGATGAGGATGAGGATGTGTAGAAGGATGAGGATGAGTGGGAGGATGGGGGAGGATGAAGAGGAGGAGGAAGAGGAGGAATCATAGGGTCCAGGCTGCACCCGAGCTGCACGCTGGGGTCCGAACTGCGCGCGTGCTCCGATGCACGCGGACGGCTGGCTGCGAGATGCACGCGACCTCGTGCGAGTGCGACTTCGTGCGTGAGTGCCCCCTCCTCCTCCTCGGTCCCCGTGCACAACGAAATGCCGTGTGGGGTCAACCGTGCGGTTCCACTCGCAATAACTAGATGAAACACGAACGATAAAGCAAAACGAAATACTGTTTGGGGTAAGCCATACCTGTGCACACACAATGACGACTTCAAAATACGAACGATCAAACACGTCGAACTCCTGTTTGGGGTCAACCGTGTGCTTGCAGTCGCAATAGCCATCTCAAGCAAGTAGCGGCCAAACAACGCGAAATACTGTTCGGCGCCAACCATACATTTGCATTTCCAATAACAAGCTCATACAGTTAACGAACACATAGCACAACATACTGCTTGGGGTAAACCATACGCGCGCATTCACAACAACGAATTGCGAGTTCAACTCACAGACTATCAAACAAAGCGAAGTACGGTTTGGGGTCAAACATGCGCTTCCACACGCAAGAACCAGTTCAACAATTAGCGGTCGAACATACCGAAATACTGTTTGGGGTAAACCACACGTTTGCACTCATAATAACGAGTTTGAACCACTAGCTGTCAAACAAAGCGAAGAAGTGTTTGGGGTCAACCATGCGCTTCCACTCGCAATAATCAGTTCACACAATTAGCGGTCAAAGAAAGCGAACTACTGTTTGGGGTCAGCCGTGCATTTGCATTCACAACAACGAGCTCAAACAATTAACGAATACATAACACGTTGTACTGTTTGGGGTCAACCCTACGCTCGCGCTCGCAAACAAAAAACAGGAGGGGGAAACAAAAAAAACAAACAAACTGGCTGACTTACCAACCACCGCTCAAAAGGAAACAACGCCGCTGTTTGGGGTTAGCGACGCGTTTGCGATGATTTAAACAAGATCGGGATCAGTAGCCATGTTGGCCCATGTCGTCGTCAGCTGACCGTCGGGCCCTCCTGGAGCACCGCGCTCATCATGGCGGCGCCCGCCAGAAAGCAACTGCACTGCAGGAGCTCCAAGATCTACGCGAGCCACCTGCTCCTGAAGTACGGTTTGACTCGGTTTTGGGCAGGAAACTAATTCGGGATTGGTCGTGGGGCTACAAACCTGCCGTTGAAGTTCAAAGACTCGCTGCCGCAGCGTATGCAGACGGCGCCGAGTGCAATATGTTACGCGCGTTGTCCGAGCTTCTGGTCAGCGCCCAGGCTACTGCTGCATCAAAGCCCCTCCATCCCCCACCCCGCCTACCCCCTCGGTTTATAGTATAGCCGAGAATGCCAAGAAGGCCAGAGCCCACAGGGTGGCCATCTGGAGTTTTTTCTGGCCCTCATGGACCCTTTTTGGGGTCCCTTTTTGGGGACATCCTGGGTGCGAAAGTGGTTGAATTCCATAGGAATTCACCCAACTCTAGACCCCCCCCTATTTACTTAAACCGGGGGGGGGGGGGGCGGTCTAAAATTTGGGTCTCGGGGCAATTTTCCCTATGGCGTGTTCCTGATGTATCTCTGGACATCTGATTCCTGACTCCTGACTCCTGACTCCTGACTCCTCCTCCTCCTCCCCCCGATCATCCTCCTCATCCTCCGTTCTGTTACTGCCAGGCAACGTTAACGAGGATTTGACGGCGTACCTCGGCGAGCCGCTCCTGCCGAAGGCTAGCTCCTTCAATGTGCACGTGCTGACCCTCAAGGGGAGGCGAGCGCTACACCCTCTTGCGCCGCCAGCGCACGCTTGCATACAAACACCGATGCCGTTCATGCTCCCTCACGCGTTGCTAGCTCATTGGTGGCAGAACGGCAAGAAAGGTTTCGCTAGGACTGTGATGTCCGACGGGTGCGCCCCGCGGGCGTTCTGGACAGAAGTGGAGGCTCGGCGCGACCCCCGTCTTGAGGGGCATCTCATGACGGGCAGAGAGGGGTGGAAGGACAACGCCACCCCCTTCAGCATCCATGGCGACGCCGTGCCAGTAACTGGCATCGGAGGTCATCACTCTAAGCCGTTCGATTGCATTTCGTGGCAGTCGTTGTTCGCGCCTGGGGGTGCAGTTCGACAACTCAAGAATTACACCTTCGGTATCTTCGAAGACTCCAAGGCCACTCGGGCCACATATGGCGTTGACACCATGGACGAAGCATGGCGCGTTATCGTTTGGTCCGTGAAGGCAGCGTATGAGGGCCGCTGGCCATCGAACGACCACCTTGGAGTTGAGTGCACGGCGAACGACTCACCAGCTGAATTCGCTCTCGCAGGGCAGCCTCTTCTCGATGGAAAGTTCCTCGTGCCATGGGGCATAAAAAGCGATTTGGATTATTACAAAAAGGGCCTCGGCATGCTACACTACGGCGCTGATGCATTTTGCTCGTGCTGTCATTCATCGGTTGCAACGGGAACACCGCTACCGATACACTCTTACAACTTCAACCCAACTGCGCTTTGGATGGGGAGGGTATACTCAGCACGGGTTTGGCGCGCGGCAAGCGCGGCAAGTGCCCACAGGCTGTTCTCGAGCATATCATTTCTATCGTGTGTAAACCTGGAGCCTGATGAACTCCACATTATTCACTTAGGCGTGGCACAGTGGACGCTGGGTTCAGTTCTATATTTATTGGTATGCGCAGCATGTTTGGTCTTGGATTCTGGAGGCATATGAAAAAATGTGATGAGTTTCATCAATATCCCACATTGGGGTTATCTTGGTTTGCCGACAAGAAGAAACCTCGAGGACAATGCCCCAAGCTGAAAGGAAAGGGCGGCCAAGCCAAGCACTTGGTCGCGCCCCTGCGTCGCGTGTGGGTTCGGTGCAGGGATCGCAGTCTAGCTCTTCCAAGTGGCGACGTACTCTTCAGGCGAGTTGAGACTCGTTTGGGCACTTGGTTGATGCACAGCGGATACTTGGTTTACATGCAAATGACTGGTTCATGACGCCAGGAAACTCCAACTCGCTCACGGTGGAAGTCAATTCTTTGTTGCGGCTGTATAGTGTCCTCGGTCATGCAGCAGACGGGGACCCGAGTGGAGATCTACTATGGAGCATGACGCCCAAATTCCATTGGCTATGGCATCTTGCCGACAGAAGCATGCTCCTGAGCCCTCGTCTGGACGCGTGCTGGATCGACGAAAGTTTCGTGTCAGTTATGAAGCGAGCTGTAAAGTCTTGCTCCTTTGGAATTCAGCTTCACCAGGTCCCTGCTGCAGTGATGTCCAAATACAGGTGGGGCATGCACTGCGATCGACATGTCTGGTCTACGACGTAACGCTGTTCAGTTGTTTCGCATTGTCGTCTGCCGCATGTTCTAACATCCCTCCATAGGAGAACGCGACGGCATGCGCCCGACCTCTGCGTCAGAAGGGGCCCCCTCCTCACTGGCAGGTTTGCTGCCCGTGGATCTTGGGTGCTAGCGGTGCATCCTCCTCCTCCTCCTCCTCCTCCTCCTCCTCCTCCTCGTCATCATCATCATCATCATCATCATCATCATCATCATCATCATCATCATCATCATCATCATCATCATCATCATCATCATCATCATCAGCATCAGCATCAGCATCAGCATCAGCATCAGCATCAGCATCAGCATCATCATCATCATCATCATCATCATCATCATCATCATCGTCATCATCATCATCATCATCATCATCATCATCATCATCATCATCATCATCATCATCATCATCATCATCATCATCATCATCATCATCATCATCATCAGCATCAGCATCAGCATCAGCATCAGCATCATCATCATCATCATCATCATCATCATCATCATCATCATCATCATCATCCTTATCCTCTTCATCCCATGCCTTCCTCCTCCTCCTCCTCATCCCCCTCATCCTCCTCCTCCTCCCTCATCCTCCTCCTCATCCCTCATCGCCCGAAGGCGTCCCCTTTTTTTCAGGGCGTCGGAGGTGCGGGCCCGAGAGCACCGCGTCAGCACCGATGCCCCAGGAGGAGGATGAGGAGGAGGAGGGGGAGGGGGAGGAGGAGGAGAAATGGAGGCGGAGGAGGAGGAGGAGGAGGAGGAGGAGGAGGAGGATGGCGACGAGGTGGGGGGATGAGGAGGAGGCGAAGGAGGAGCGAGGTCCGAGGACTTAGGTTTGTGTTTTTGTTCGAACGATGTTTGTTGTTTCTGGGCATCCTGGGGGGGTGGAGCCTCGTCGCCACGGCAGGATTCGCTGCGATATCTTGGCCAAACCGCGCTTCTGAGGGGGTGGGGGGCGATCGGTCGCCTCACAGCGAATTGCAGTTTTGCGAGCGTGCGTCTCATGTAAAGTTTCGCCCACACCGCCGCGCCGTTTTGGCCGCCGACATGCTGGCTGTTTGTCCGTA